AAGGGGAATAACAGCTGCAATGATTAATCTTTTACCGTCGTATATAACCTTTCTTACCAGGAGCTCAACAAGCTTTGCTGATAAGGTTCCTGCTTTTTGCAATATAAAAGAAAAAGGAAAAAAATTTCACCAGTCTTTTTCCGGCTGTCCCTAACTATGACAGCAATACTAAGTAATGTGGCAGTAACCACATGAGGTTTTCAGAAGCCTGCCCACCAGGTACCTGTGACAGCAGGGGATCTAACCCCATCGCCAAGTACAGACGCACAGACAAAACAGTGTGGCTGAGAGCACTGTGTACTCAGTGAGTGCCCGTGACCCAGAGAAGCCAAACCCCACACTTCTCCCTAACATAGAAGCTTTTCCATATTTTAATGTCAAACACAGTGTACTGCCATAAAAACGGGAATCCTCCCTTCTGCCTGGCAATACTTAAAACCACAGCACTTCTTATGCACAAAAATGTGTAAACTTTTGAAGCTATTTTTTAGAAAGTCACGGTAACAGAATGATGGAGTTTTATAGTACAAGTAAAAGAACAATGTAAGTTCCTTCACTACTCCCTTGAATTTATATACTGTCTTTCTTCCAAGGAACCTCTATGTCGTCAGAACATCCTTATGGAAAATGTTTTTTAGAAGCAGCCCTTAAGTCAATTAGGAGCAAATAACTGCAAAGAAAGAGAAAAGGAACCCACATGTGTTTTAACAAAGGCATGCTCTCCGACCGCACTGACTCTGAGGACCACCCATGGGATCAGCAATGTCCAGGAGTGTGCATGTGTCAGTGTGTGGCCAGGCCACTCAAGGTGGCTGTTCTTTGCTCTCTGGACATGCCCTGCCTTACCTGTGCCTGCTTCACCTACACCCTACTCACATGACTGACCTTCCTACATACTTGCCCCAGGTCCTGGCTAATGATTGCTCTAACTTTAGATCTCCACTGTGATAGCTTTTCATAGGGGTGATGAAGGGCATGCCCCTCTGCTGGTTTCCCTGGTAACTGATGAGTCAACCTGAAGTCAACCCCCTCTGTAGCAAAGACTGCCCCCATGTCCTGCCCGCTGTCTGCCGCACACGGTGGAGGGTGGCTCCAGACATGTGAGATCCCCCTATGCGTTAAACCACTGATGTCTCTGTTGCTGACTGTAGGCTCTTTCTTCGGTCCTGAGGCTGGGCAAGTACAGGACTTGTAGGCCTGTGGGGTGCAGCCCAACAGTCAGCAACTTATTTAAATGGTGGAGAAAGAAAAAAGGCAGATGAAGAAAGAAAGTGTGCCACGGACCCACCTCTATCATACAACTCGTTTGCTCACAAACCAACAATGGCTTTGTATCACCTGTTGAATGAACTCTAAATATCTCAAATTTTCAAAGATTTCTACAATCTAATCCCCCAGCTAGCGGGTGTGGGATCATCCAAATGAAGCTTCCCGCAGCAATGGCCCTGTCCAGCACTCAGACCTACTCACGCACTCACCATTTTTGGCCTGAAATAACCACCCGGGTTTAGCCGTCACTTGACAGCACAACTTGCACTTCTGATTATGTCCTTGACTCTGCTTTCTAGTATCCAAATCTTAGTGGGCTTCCCAGCTCAGCCCTATCCTGTATCTGTCCTCCCAGATGCATCCATCCACGTGGATTTCTCTGAACTCCTTCAAATTCAATTACTCAACTTTGTCTTCAGATTTCATTTAGGGTTGCATGAGAACTGTGTATCACCCTAAACAAACTGTGTTGTATTTCAGTATTCCTGCACAGACTGCCTCTCAACTATTAAGTCGATTCAACTGATGATTCAAAGAAATATCTACTGAATAAGGAGAGAAAGTGAGAGTGACAGGGAGAAAGAAGCGGAGAGACAGAAAGAGAAAAACTCAACCCAGAAAGAGACAGAGAGCAATAGGGCAGAGACAAAAAGTACTCGAAGAGAAATACTTTTATAAAGATACGAAAAGTAGGCTTAAGTCCGAACATCTGCCTCATCTGCAGACTACGTCACAAACTGCCTATGTCTGCGCGAGATCACTCTTTCCCCACCCAGTGGATTCAACATATAGCGCATTAGGACGACTCACCAGAATTTGAAGAGATTCTTCGTGTGTCCTTCCTCAGGCTGTGTACCTAGCCCACAGTTAGCTCCTAACACAATGCACACATTACCTTTTCTGAAACCTGATGCAAAAGCTCAGACGCCCTTTGAAAGACTGAAGGCGATAGACGTACTAGATACACAGACATACATACATATGTTATCAAGTGGTCATCAAAATCAGGAGGGAAGAGAAGTCACCCGGGCCAACAAATCCACTTTATGAGCTGCTATAATTTTCCCAATTCTAAAAACATTATCAGACTCCATGGAATAATATGACTGTTCTTATTAAAGAAATCATTTGCTGTTAGTGAAAGTACCAACATTATATAGATAAAGGATAGTGCTTTCAGCTCTAAGAGATTCTTATCAAGTAAGAGTTTTCATTGAAACACCTACTTGAGACCAGACTAGCCACTATATTAGGTTTCCAGAGTCAAGATAATTTCATCATCTGAAGCTATTTTTGTTGGGTATGTGGCAACTTCAGCGTCATTTCACTAAACTCTGATATTACAGCTCACACCTTCCCCAAAGCTGAGGCTTCCTGGATAGTCTGAAAGGTTTACATCAAAAAGAAAAGATTATCCAATGTTAAATTAGACAATATTGGCCTCTAGAGATCTCTAAAAATGTAGACAAATGAAAGAAGAGACTTGTTAGTTTTTCAATCATTCCTAGCTTTAAAAGGGAAGATTTATGGGAGGAAGCCAAGGTGGATCACTTGGATACAGAGAATTTCATAGGATCTCTGTTCGCATCTTTGCAATGATTTACAGAAAGTAGTCAACTAAAGGCAGAGTGAATTGGCTTCAATTTCCCAATATTCTTAAAACAGCATTCAACTTCTCTACATTTGTAACTTTCCCACACTTCTAACTGAACCCCTGCTTCCCTCTGTGAAGGCTTCCCTCCTCACGACCCTCCCAGGCAGAGGCTGCCATTCACCTTTCCCTACCCTTACCATTTCTTTAAGCCAAGAAGCTTTGTCTCTGGCCAGTGTGCTAGTGGTCCCTAAACCCTCAGCTCAAGAGTCTACCTTCTATTCTAATAATCTATAGCTCCTCCAAGAATGTACATTTTTGCTGTCTTTGTTTTTTATTTATTTCACAACTTCTTTCTTCCTGGTTCTCATTGTAGGCGACCTCAAGTTCACTGGTGATTAAAGTTGGCATAAGTAACTAAACAAACTACTGATATAAGGCGTCTCTCCTAATACAACAACTAGTGAATACAACAGAAAAGAAGCAGACTCACCGACAGAACAAACTAGTGGTTACCAGTTGGGGGGAGGAGGGGCAATACAGGGAGATACAAACTACTGAGCGTAACAGGCTCGAGGATATGTTGTACGACACGGGGAATATAGCCAATATTTTGTAATAACTGCAAATGCAAAGTAACTTTTTAGAACTGTACAAAAAATTTAAATGCAAAAAAATCCTATTAAAATATGAATTTATTTTTTAAAAAAAGACACCTCTCCTTTGAGATATATAAAAATTTCCAGCTCTAAACATAATCACCTGGGTATCACACAGACATGTCAAAATCAACATCCATGAAATGAAACTCTTTTTCCCTTCTATGCTGTTCTACAGATCCTGTTTCCTGTTGATCAGCTGTCCAAGTTAGAAACCTCAGTGCTGTTATTAATACATGCCTCTCTAGGACCAACAACATACAATCAGACACCAGCTCCTGCCGACTGCGTAACCAACATGCAGCCAACTTCACATCCCTGCTACCTTCATCTCAGCCCTCACCACCTGCTATCTGAGCTACCTCAACAGCCTCCTAATGGGTCTCCTCGCATGTGGCCGATTTCCACATGGCCACCAGTTAACTTTCTAAAACAGAGATCAACCACGTCCCATCCAAACCCATTTAAAGCCTTGACAAGCTCCACCGCAAACCACTGCACCCACCCTCCCCCCACACACAAGCCCCACCCGACAAGTACTCATCAGTCTCTACCATGTGTTAAGTTTGAGAATCTGACTCACATTATTCCCTCTGTCTACATGTTTCTCCCACTCGCACTCTTCAATGTCTGGTAAAAGTGTTGTGGCCTCGCATCCTGATTGGGTGGCACTTGGCCTGTCACTTTCCTATCACACATGCCATAATCCACTGCAATCATTTATTACAATGACTCTCCCCAGGTAGTCTTGAGGATAAAAGTTACTCATTTCCTACACCCAGCAACATGCCTGACATACAGCAGACACTCAGGGTTTGTAAACTAAATTAATTAATATGCAGATGGCCAACAAGCGCACTCATAATACAAAGTAAACAAAACAGAATTTTCTTTCTCCTCCAAAGAGAGAACACAGAGAAAATTATCCTGAAAAAAATTAGATATACTTGAATTAATTTTCATGAGGCAGAAAGAATTTAATTAAAAACCTGTATTACAAACTCTTCAGCAATAAAACCACAATAATAGAAAGCACCTTTATAACATTCACTTACTCAACACATATTTTTTTGAGTATCTTTGTGCCAGGCACTCTGCTGGATGTGGGAAATCTTGTGCTAGATGCTGGGCATTCATTCATTCCAGAATGTTTTCCTATCATCTCACTTTAGTGTTACAACCATCCCATGAGGAAGGCAGGACAGTTGCTATAACCCCCATTTTACAGATGAGAAACTGAGAGCAGACAGTCTACCTGGTTTGCTCAGGGTCAAAGCCAGGAAGATGGAGATCTAGAACTAAAACAGTTCTCTCTTCAGTCCAGGTCTGGCGCTTCCTTTCCTATTAAGCCTGCAAGTTCTGGCTCTACCACCCTTATTTCCTCTGAAGAAGGGATTAAAATTCAACTTCAGTCTTGGTCTTAAAAGTAAAAGTGCAGAGAAATGAAGTAGAGAGGTCTGCAGTCCAGGGTGAGGACTAACCTGTTATCCTTGCACACGGTCACCTTGTCTCCCCCAGGTATCAGCTGCTTCTGTTCAATCACTCCATAGCTTTCTCGACAAATCTATATTTGAGAAGGAAGAAAAAGAAGTTTCAGTTTGTTTACAACTTATCTTTCTAGACCCCACGTGACTGACAGAACCCTTGAGAACAAATGTAGCTTAATGACGACTGATTACCACAGAACATTCTTGGGAGGAGAAAAGAAACTGAATGAGAAAACACTGGCACCCTAAAAGACATCTTCTGTTTTAAGACATGAAGCTGTCAACAAATGCAATCAAAGAGAAAATGACATGAGCTCTAGAAAAGAAATTTTATGTATAGGAATAAAGAGGATTAATGCTTTAGTAATTTTCTTAAGTGCATAGATTAATCATTCATTCACTTATTCAACACATTTACTGAACTCCCATAATATTCAAGACACTATGACTACCCTATGACCCACCAATTCCACTCCTGAGTACACATCTGAAAAAAACAAAAACACTAATTCAAAATGATACATGTACCCCAGTGTTCATAGCAGCATTGCTTACAATCACCAAGATACAGAAGCAACCTAAGTGCCCATCAACAGATGAATAGATAAAGAAGATTTGGTGTATATATATACAGTGGAATACTACCCAGCCATAAAAATAATGAAACTTTGCCATTTGCAGCAACATGGATAGACTTGGAGGGCATTATGCTAAGTGAAATAAGTCAGAGAAAGCCAAGTATTGTAATGATATCACTTACCTGTGGAATCTAAAAAACACAACAGACTAGTGAATATTAAAAAAAGGAGCAGACTCAGAGATCTAGAGAACAAACTAGTGGTTAGCAGTGGGGAGAGGGAAGGGGGGGCGAGTAGGGGTAAGGAATTAAGAGGTACAAATTATTATGTATAACATAAGCTACAAAGATATATAGTACAACACAGAGAATATAGCAAATATTTTATAATAACCATAAATAGAGTATAACCTTTAATAACTGTGAATCATTTTGTACACCTGTAAAATATATTGTACAGCAATTATACTTCAATTTAAAAAAAGACACTGTGACTAAAGTAAGTTCATTCAGGGAAGTCTGAATTTATTCTTTTGTTTGTTTTTTGTTTTTGTTTGGATTTTGAACAATTTTATTTTTGCTTTTATTATTTACCGAGTATCAAGGGAATGTAATCAGGATTGAAATGCTCCCAGAACCCAGGAAGATTTTCTTCCTCACTGCCTCAAAGGGCCACCTGAACTTAAAACGTTTTTCCCCTCTCAATCATGAGTTTATTCTTTGATTTGGAGAAAAATTAATGTTAATTATGACTTGTAAACATGATGAAAGAGACAGCTACAATCATAAGTAAACTGTGGAAATCCTTACCGTAAAGTTGAGGCAGAAAGTCTCCTCAATATCTTCCCCAGGGTAATCTAAAAGTTCTTGAAGACTCCTAATCACAGAAGGACAGAGAAAGGAAAAGAGGCAAATCAGACATGGCAACAGCGTCTGAATCTCAGTCACACATCCAGACTGTTTATAATGAAAAGCTGTAAAAGAAGATTCTAGAACGAATATAAACCCAGACTGACAGAAAATGGTGTTAACTATATCTTGAAAAAATATGGCAGTTGACTTGTAAGACATTCATTCATGGCTGTCTGTTCCTACTGACAAATCTTACTGAATTTATGGAAGAATTCAGATGGATTTCCCCAATACACTTGTGTTAACCCTGGTATTCCTTGGAAGCAGATGTATGAGGAGATGGTACTGCAATGGTCCTCTAGTCTGGCTTTAACCACATGCACTAGCAAAATAGCCCTTTTGTCATCAAAAAAGTTACAAAGTCACTCCATCCACTTCGGAATCTTAATGGCTTACTTGTTAATGCAAGGGACTCTGTGGTAAAGCACTCTATTTAATCAGCCATACTAAAGAACGCTGAAACACGTTTATGCCAATGAGGGTCATGCTGTGGCCCTCACGAGAACACATTCCTGTAACCAGACCTCATTCTCACTTTCTTCCTGAGTGAGCTCCGAGTCTGGTGGTTCCATAAAGAGTTGCCTAGGAGGAAAATTCTTAGTGTGGAATTTAAATCTGCTTCCAGTTAACCAGCCAAGATCATTACTTGAAATACATCATTCCCAGCCAGGTTGGCAAAGAAAACAGCACAAATTTCTGTCTCAGTTACCAAAAAAGGAACCTTTGCCTGTGTCTCCTCTGCCATTTTTTTATACTCTTTCTAAATTTTCTTTTCCTCTCTCTGGGCCCCCACTCCGCCCAGCCTTTACAATTTCTCCCTATTGGTGTTCGATACTGGTGGTGTGACAGTCTCATTTCCAGAGGGCACCTTAGAGACCACTCCTCCTCTATTGCCATCTGAAAATTGGTATTCTTTCTCCATAAAAAGGGATGTTCCTGCCTGTTGAAGTCAAAAGAATATGGTGTCTTTTTATGTACTTCATCTTACGCTACCTGAAATCAATACAGATAAACTCAGGATAAAGGAGCTTTTAAGAGCCAGAAAGAAAATAACCTAAAAACATGGCTCTAATACTTCGGAAAGGTCTACAGGTTCCTCAAAAGGCTAAACATAGAGCTACCATCTGACCAAACAATCCCACTCCTGGGTACTCACCCAAGAGAAATGAAAACTCATGCCTACACAAAAAGGATGCAAGAACACCCACAGAGGCACGAGTCCATAAGAACCAGAAGGAAGAAACCAGTCAAACGTCCACCAACTGACGAAGGGGACAAACAAAATGTGGTATAACCATACGATGCAATATTATTTGGCAATAAAAGGAATGAAATGCTGATACAGACCACAACTTAGAGGAACCCTGAAAGCATGCTGTGTGAAACAAGCCAAACACAAGAAAGCACATATTGTATGACTCCATTTATGTGAAAATCTAGAATAAACCAGTCTATAGAGACAAGAAAGTAGACTGGTGGCTGCTGAGGGCTTGGGGACAAGGAAACTGGGGGTGTTGACTAAGGAGCTCCAGGCTTCTTTTTCGGGTGATGAAAATATTCTAAAATTGACTGTGGCAAAGCTGAATAACTCCATGAATGTACTATAAGACACTGAATTACATACTTTAAGTGGGTGAACTGTGTGGTATGTGAATTACATCTCAATTAAACTAGTTTCTAAAAAAAGCTCTGTAAGAGAACAGAACATACATATATTCTTCTCTGCCCCCAGTTCCTTGGTACAGAGCTCCCCAAACCCCTGTAAATCCCTAAGCGAGAAGGGTACTAGGAGCGTCTTTTGTTCTAATGCAGTGACTCTGGGTGGGTCCTGGCTGGGTGCTGAGGATCAGAAAGACCCAGCCATGATTAGATACTTAGAATTTTCAGCCCATTCTCCAGAGATGGGTGAGGGGCTGGAAATGGAGGTCATAACTGATCATGCCATTGTGAGGAAGTCTCTGTCAAATCCCCACAGTAGGGGGCTCCGGAGCTTCCAGGTTGGTGAGCACATCCACATCCGGAGGGCGCCACACCCCAACTCCACGAGGTCAGGAGCTGCTCCTGCGCTCAGGATCCCTCCAGACCTCACCCCACGTACCTCTTCATCTGGCTGTTCATCTATATCCTTTATCGTATCCTTTAATAAATTGGTGGACCTAAGTGTTTCCCTGAATTCTGTGAGCTGCTCTAGGAACTTAGCGAAACCTGAGGAAGGGGTCGTGGGAACCTCTGATTTGTAGCCCAGGGACAGAAGTTGTGGGGAACCTGGGGACCTACGACTTGCGGCTGGCTTCTGAGGTAGGGTGGGAGCAGTCTTGTGGGATGGAGCCCTTAACCCGTGAGATCCATCTCCGGGTAGATGTGTCAGAATTGAGCTAAATTTGTAGGCCACCCAGCTGGCACCATGGAGAATTACTTGGTGGTGTGGAGGAAAGGCTCCCACACAGTCAGTGACCAGAAGTGCTATGAGTGTGGTCATAGTGTGAAAGTCAAGGAGACACAGGGAGGAGAAACATAGAAAGACGGGGAGACCTGCAGGGTTTTTTAACACAGGTTCCCGTTTCAGTACTTTCTCCCCTGTATGTATGGACCACGACATGAACCTTCCTGCCCCCAGATGATGCAGGCAGAGCTTCAACCAAGCAGCTGCGGAGCTATGTCTTCGGACGAGGCACACACCACGCAGTCTAACGATGAACTCTAACTCATACACGCGGCATTTCGACCTTTAATCCCAGGGCAGAGGCAGCCGGAGCCGTTCCCCACGCCAGTGCCCCGTCTCCCGCGTTGTACCTTCCTTCCATGGGTGACAGCTCTTTCAAGTCTTCCAGGCCAGGCTTCACGTTCAGCAGCTTCTTATAGAGCGCCAGCGGGAAGTGCAGGTCGACCACGGTGGAGTTGTAGATGGCGAGGCCACAGGTTATGCCAATCAAGTGAAACCAGTTGTGCTCTACAAAACACTGTCAGCACGTGTGCAAATGTGTGAAAAAGAAATGCAGTGTTGGTGGCCCTCAAAACCATCAGCCATTTACCTTAAAATATTTTCTGTATGAAAGAATGAGGATCTCACTGAGTTACCTTCTGAGGCAGAGAAACACCCTTGACAAAAGTTTGATTATCCCCAAAAGACACAATGTAGACAAAAGCAAGCATTTCTAGCTCTTCTGTGATACACAGAACAGCGTATCCTCATTGGGAGCAATGTTGTCCAACAGAACTGTCTATAGTGATGGAAACATTCTATTCTGCACTGTCCCAGGTGGCAGCCAGCAGCTACATGGGTCCTGTGAATGTTGGCTAGTACTACTGAGGAAATGACTCCAGTATGAAAAAAAGCCACATGATGTGAGTGGCCATCTTTCAGGACAGTGCAGATCTAAGGAGCAAACTCTGGTAGAACTAAACTGTAGTCTGCTTTTATAACTGCCTTTTAAAACTCAGCTCCCCTGTAGAGGGACAGGGCAAAAAAAATTTTTCCTCTATTACAGAATTTTCAATAATGAAGTATGAACGTGTGTATATCTGTATGAGTATTCATACACATACTATCACTGTTATCGAAATAAGGCATATTTGACTATTACTTTTTAACATGTCATAAAACTAATTTCTTTATCCTACCATGTTCTTTCTACTCTTCAAGGATTCTAAAACTTGGAGCTTACCTACTAGGAATGGAAAAGGGGCTGATGGGGGACAAAATGCACTATGAGCCACAGGTGAAATATGAAGACTGGATATACTATATGGACATTTTAAATTATTATCTTTGTTATGTTCCCCTCTGTAAAATTCAGAAGTCTGGGGATTGGTCTTACAACAAAAAAGGAAGCTTAATTCAATCCTTCTGTTTAATGGTGACACCAGTAACTTACCGTATCTGAAAACCACAAGAGATTTGAATCTGGATAGTAGGTAAACATTCCATAGATGGGATTCAACAGTTCTTTTAACAGTAAAAGAAAGAACTCTTTTGTGACACCACCAGCATCCACTGCTTCTTCACCATCAAAAATGACCTTAAAATAACGAACTTAGAATTAATATTTCAGGGAAATCGCTGGCAATTTTTTTAAGCAAATTCTTTCCAAAGTCAGGACTAAGAAAGGAAAATATAACAGAGAATACAATGATTCAATGAAAACTACAAGGTGTGGCTACTGATTATTAACAAGGCACTTGCAAATGTACAACATTTTTACTAGGCACTTCAAGGCATACAAAGAAAGTTGTAAGTTTACTGTATGTCCCCAGAAAGTTTACCATCTATTTGGGGCAGGAAGGCAAACATATAAGAACCAATTCAAGAATACATTTTATCTTCAAGGTGTCAGATACACTGAGACATAAAGATTCTGGCACACAGAGAAACACTGTGATTAACCAGAGTAAAAGAAGAAATCTCTCGCAGTGGGTCACACTGAACTAACTGAAAGGGAGGAGAGCATTCTCAGCAGGCACTGACGGGGCCCCAGGAGAGGATATACACAGACCCCTCAGCAGACCCACACCAGGTACTCTGGACCCATAACAGTCATCACAGTGACGACCACAGCAAACCAACAGACGAGACTCACTGAGCGTTTACTCCATGCCAGCCAGCACCAACTATTACCCTAATCCTCAGAACGGTCTTCTGCATAGGGATTACTATCATTACCCCCATTTTACACGGAAGGGCTCAGGCCCAGAGCTAAAAACAGCATCTGAGAAAGCTTATCCTGGTGGCTCTGTTCAAGGTTGCCTAGAGCAGGACGAGAGGAAGCATCTGATAAAAAGGCAAGCGGACGGCTTTACTCAAACAGGCACAAAGCAAGAACTGCCTCCGCTGATTTACTGATTGAAAACAGGGGCAGAGAGAGCCCCTCTTTTTGTAATATCAAAAGTCTAACCCAGAAGGTCTAGGGAGAACTCTCAGGCAGATTGATGGGACGGATGAGAACTACCGGACATCTTGCAAAGGGCGACAGTATCACGGAGAACATCAGTTTCTCGCCTATTATGTTTCAGAAACTGGAGTTTACAACAGAATTGGAAATAGAGTTACGAAAGCCTTCTGAAGGGAAAGGTAAATGACTTAAAACTTCAAATAATCCACTATATTGAACATTTACTGTGCTCCAAGCATTGTGAGCCCCAGGCATACACAAACGTGCACTACGAGGAAAGACAATTTCTTAATTTAGTAATTTCAGAGTACTAAGTGCCTATCGTCACAGGCCACCGGCTACCCAGACGATTTCACTACATTCTTTTTTTTTAGCCTTCTTTCTCTTAAATCTTTGACATCCAAAGACGTCCTAGATGCTGGCTTGACAGTTTTACCTAGTTGGAGTTTTAGTTGTGCTGTTGTTCGCTTGTTTTTGGTAGAGCTGGAGCAGGTACACTGAAGACAGCAGACAAAGACCCTATCATCCCTCAAGTAATCCACTGGCATTTTTATTTGCTGTTATGTTGAGATGTTCTGTTTGGTGATTTGACAGAAGGAGGTAATTAAATTCTTGTAAAATGAATTTAAAAAATAATGAATGGCTGCACTCCA